AAGTTGACACTGGAAACACTGCCTGTATAAGAAGCAACAGAATGGTTTTGCAATAATTATTTTGCACTTTAACATGAATTAGATGTAAGGGTCAGAGAAATTAACATTTAAATACCATTTAATCTAGGACATTAATCATCGTTAACCCATCTAATTCTACAATTAAACTGAATATTCAATCTGTCAACCTCTCTAAGTATCTAATCCTTTTATTCAGATTTAACAATTTTTTTTTTAAATTTAGGGGACGTTTATTGTCTGGAAACCTGTCATTGAACTACCAATGTAATCAATTCACAGTTTTATTTAAATATATTTTTGTACATTTTACTTTCTAACTACAAAATAGTCAAATGAGACATAACTGAGACAGATTCATTTATTTTGTATTGTATACTCAATGTGTAGAATCACCAGGAACGTTAAACGGCCTTATCCGGACACATACTATTTAAAGCGTTAAAAACCCCAGAGACACGGGAAATAACTCATGGGGTTAATGAGGAGTTAAATAGCCTTTCACTTTTATTTTGCTCATTCAAACCCAGCCCATGTTGGTAGTTGCTGAAAAATTATCTGAAGGATGTGCAGTGGCCTACTATATATGAAATGAATTGATGGTCACATTTCACATAGTAGACACGTGTCCATTTGGCACCCATTTTGGGCATCCGAGAGATAAAAGACTAAATGGACATGAAAAGCAAACTAGCTTATCACACCTAAATGGTGTTTTCTTTTTGGTCAGCATCGATTCTCAATGGTAGGGTACAGGAACACAGGTCCCAATGCCGTGGATAAAAAAAAAAAAAAAAAAAAAAAAAAATCAGTCTCCCTTTTCGCTAATGGCCAAATTCTCTGTATATTTAATACAATCCAAAGAAATATCACTATTCTGGCTACAGTAACTCCTCGCTTAACGTTGTAGTTATGTTCCTGAAAAATGCGACTTTAAGCAAAACGATGTTAAGCAAATCCAATTTCCCCATAAGAATTAATGTAAATGGGGGGGGGCGGGGTGGTTAGGTTCCAGGGAAATTTTTTTCACCAGACAAAAAACTATATATTTTTATCTATCTATCCACACACACACAAATATATATATGTATATACACACACACACACACACACACACACACACACACACAGTAAGTTTTAAAAAAACAATTTAATACTGCACACAGCAATGATGATTGTGAAGCTTGGTTGAGGTGGTGAAGTTACAGGGTGGAAGAGGGAGGGATATTTCCCAGGGAATGCCTTACTGCTAAATGATGAACTAGCACTCGGCTGAGCCCTCAAGCGTTATCACATTGTTGTTAATGTAGCCTCACATTCTACAAGGCAGCAGGAATATAGGGAGGGGAGACAGCATGGCAGACAGAGACTGAGACACACACCCTGTGTGTGTGTGGGAGAGAGAGAGAGAGAGAGAGAGAGAGAAAGAGAGAGATGCACATTGCCCCTTTAAGTACGCTAACACCACTCTAAGTACATTGCCTTTAAAAAAATCAGGAAGTTGAGACAGCAGCTGTGGCCAGCAAGCTCTCTCCGTCCTGAGCCCTATCCTGTCCCCACCCTGCTCTATATGGAGAAGAGGTAAGCGGGGGGGCAGGAGTGGGGGGGGAATACCCTGACATGAACCCCCCACTTCCCCCCTCCCTTGCACAGCAAGCAGGAGGTTCCCGGGAGCAGCTCCAAGGCAGAGGGCAGGAGCAGCACATGGCAGTGGGGGGGAGGGACAGCTGAACTGATGGCAATTGGTAGCCTGCTGGCAGGGCCGGCTCTGGCTTTTTTGCTGCCCCAGGCAAAAAAGCCTCCGGCCGCCCCCCCCCCCCCCCGGGGGGGGGGGGCGGCCGGAGCCCTGGGAGGAGGGCGGCGAGCCCCAGCAGGGGCTCCGCTCTCCCCCCGGCGGCCAGAGCGCAGGGGGCAGGGCGGCGAGCCCCAGCCGGGGGGGAGGGCGGCCAGAGTGCCGGGGGGAGGGCGGCGAGCCCGGCCGTGGCCCCGCTCTCCTCGGCGGCCAGAGCGCCACGCCACCCCCCTCCAGGTGCCGCCCCAAGCACAAGCTTGGTGGGCTGGTGCCTGGAGCCGGCCCTGCCTGCTGGGCGGCTGCAGCACAAGGAATTTAGGGGCGCGGGGAGCTGATAGGGGGGCTGCTGGTCCACCCTGGTTCTAAGCCCCCACCAGCTAGCTGCAAGGGGCTGCTCTTCCTGCAAGCAGTGGACAAAGCAGGCGGCTGCCAAGCAACGTTAAAAGGAAGCATTGCGCAACTTTAAACAAGCATGTTCCCTAATTGATCAGCAACATAACAACAAAACAACATTAACCGGGACGACTTTAAGTGAGGAGTTACTGTACAGTGAATTGTAAATATTTCCATCCTTCTACTTTTACCCCTTTAATTTGAATAAGACCGCAAGCACACACAACCCACTAACGAACCTTTCCTCCCATAAATTATTTTCATCACTGTGACGTAATTTGTCCTAAAGATATCATGGAGCTTGTAATGCAAGGTCAAATATCCCTGGTCCCTCATTCCAGCAAGCCATATGGTATGGACAAACATAGATATTGTTGATTGCTGTCTCAAATAAAACTAGCACTAAATAAAGAAATCATCAAGCAGAACATTCAGATGCTTGATCTGAACAACAAAATTATTAGTCATACCACAAGTACTGTACTGACAGTGCTCAAGTAAACAGTTTTTTTTAAAAAGGAGGTAACCAAGTCTCATTTCTGAATATTAGCCACACAAGCAAGAAACTTTTGAGAATTAATATTAAAGCATACACAAAATCCTGACTGGATACCTGATCAGAACAAGTTTCTCTGTCATTACAAATAGAAGAATGACTGCTGCTAAATGTAAAATGTTAAAAGCAAATATATAAAGTTACATAAATTATAAACAAATATTTGTCACTTCACCTACCACTGAAACTGAAAGTATGAAAAGTTAAAGACCTGTTGTATTTGTAAAGAGACCTACAGCCTGCCGAACTCACTCTAACTGGCTATCCCAAATCCATTACTTATTACAAACCTTTCATTCTGCTATTTATCTTATCTCCTTCCTCTTGCTCCTGCACCACTTTAGTAGAATATTCCCAGGGTTGTGCATTGTGAGATTTAAATTACGGTTAAATACTAAACCAAACCCCCTTTGTTAGTAAACACTTTTTGCAACTAATTTAATCGAAGTGCTCTCATGAGCCCTTGATGTAGTTACCTTACTTAAACTGGAAATGTAAAGTAATTACTACTAATAGTTAAAATGACTAGAAATGTCTCCTCTAGCTCAAAAAACATTAACCACAACACAAAATTTGGCATTTGAGGCAGTCAACTTGTGCACAACTGGAAACCATTATTCAGAAAAGTGCCTATCTGACAGCACTAGAGGCAAGAATAATTACAATATGCTCACATTATTTTTCCTCACTTTTTTCAAGTACTTCACACTGAATCAGATCTGCTAGAAAATCTAGTCCACTCCCTTGCCAATGCTGGTTTGTTCTCTAGGATACGTTTTGTAGAGCTTTGCCCAGCCTAGGTTAAAAGTGTCCTAATTGATGGGCTTTCACTGCTTCCATAGATAATTTTACAGCTTAATACCTCCCTGTCAAGAAAGTTTTCTTGACATTCTCTGAAGCTTTCCTTTTTTAAAGTTTCATCCCACAAGCATAAAGTCTCCACTCTTTCTACCTCTGTGTGTGTCACCTGAGAACACATTGCTCTTTTATTGTTGCCACATTGCACCACAAAATCACATCTACTTTGCCTTCCATGTTTACTCCTCACCATTACTAAGTTTCAGGTTTTGCCTTGCCCGTGTATATCTGTGTTATGGATTAGTTGTGTCCCAACATATCAGTTTGTATTCTTCCAAGTTGTTTCTTATTTTCCTTTCTATCCATATTTCTAAACTCTCAAGGTATGTGAGCATTATTTTTCTGTCCTCATTGGTACTTATACAACTTTCCAATTTAGTATGATTTGTGAAGTTCAGTAAAGAACTGTCTACCTCTTCTTCCAGATCATGAGTGAAATTATTAAATAAAATGAGACCCATAAGGTATCCCAACTAGATAATCTGCCCTGTTCCCAAATTTTAACACCTTGTCATTTACCTTTCCTTGTTTGCAGCCCCTTCAGACAATTTTCAATTTACGTGATAGGGTTCATATCACGGCCCATTTAGCTTAACTTTGCAAGATTATGCGGGAGATTGTATCAAAGACTTGACTAAAGTCTAAATATATTTATATTATGTTACAAAATTAGTAGATGAAGGTAATTTTTTAAAAAACAACCAGGTGTGATAAAATCTGTTCTTTATAAACCTAGGCTACTTATTGTTCTCAGTTCCATTATCCTCTAGATCTTAAATGAGTATGTTTCTTAATATTTCTTCCATTTTACTATAGATTCAAGTTAGACTTCATCTTTAAAGATCACAATATAACCTTAACATTTTTATAAAACAGATATTCTACTAACCTTGATAAATCTGCAATATTCATATCCAAGGAAACAACACGACAGAGCCCAACTTAAGGTAAAATTGTTAGTCAGCATTACTTACAACATATTCTCTTATGGCAACTGTATACATGGGTTCCCAACTGTCCCATGTATACAGAATAATCAAACTGAACTTCTACATTTTAGAAAACTGAAGCTGTGTGACATTAGAAGAGTCTTTTTTCCAGAAATTCCAACTCAAAAATATTTCAAATAAATACTTCAGAGAACCACTGTACAAAAATACTTCAGAATACTTCCAGGCATACAATAAAGCATTTTCATTTAAGAAGTGTGGTTAGCAGAATAAGCACATACACACAAAGGTAAGTAGTGCTTTTTCTTAACCACATTTCCCTTTATTCCAGAAGACATTAATGTTTTAAAACAAGTGGGGCAAATATTCCCTAATTTAAAAAAAAAAACAAATTGCAAGAAATAAAAGTAAAGAAGGCATTACAAACACTTACAGTCCATAAATCTGTGGAGCAATTTCTAGCCTGTTCAGATGCATGTACAGCTCAATATCATGTTTCTTCAGCAGGTGATCCTGTATCTGGTTTACTTTAGTTACAATAGCAATAGATGGACCTAAATCCTGTGGCCTTGCAAATGGTATAGGCGTCATCATTGCATCTTTCTCCTAAAGACAGAAAAACAAACAGGAAATGAATTATTAAAACACTTTGCATGAAACGTCAGTATAGACGTACATGAGAGGTAATTACTTTCCTGTAATCACTGACTTCTGAAGTAAACTGTCTGTTACAGCTGTCCCCCTGCTGCACTCCTTTTTTCCCCTCTCCTTTCTGTTTGTCCTGTGTGGCCGCCCCTCCCGGCCATTGTGCTAACTAAAGTCACAGCGCTATTCATAGGAATGGCTTGTACAGACTAACTGGAGCCATTGCTCTGCCTAGGGAGGGGGCTTCTTGCTTCTTTGTTTGGTTCCTTTGTTCAGACCTGGGCTCGGTGTGGGGGGCGCTGCCCAGAAATGCAAGACCTGAAGTGGCCAACTAATTAAGCATATGAGTCATACCTGAGGCTCAGAACATGCCCAGGCATGCCTATGCTTACCTGCAGCCTTTCCCTGCCTTCTCTCCTCCCCTGTATCAAGAGGAGCCAATCAAAAGTACTGGTGGGAAACTGCCTGAGTTTGCCTTTAAAGCCGGACATTTTCTGATCAGACCTCGGAGAAGGTCCTTGCTTTGCCACCTGGTCTGATCAGCTAGGGGTCTTTGGGGGGCCCTCTCCCCGCTCTCGTTTGTTTTTGAGCGTACCCCTGTTTTTAAACTCCCCTCCCACGAACAACGAATTTGTGCCTGGAGATCTCCTGATTATTGTAAGCGAATCGAGTCCTCTCTCCATCCTCCGATGCTACTGCCGTTCCTGTCTCTGTGTTTGCTGCTGTCCTGGGGAATGGTAAGAACTCCCTCTTGCAAACTCCCCCTGTCCTAGCTACTGGCCTTGTTTCCCCAGCAGACAGACTCAAGCTAACTCCTTGGTCTGTATCTGTAATCTGTTTCTGGCTCCGCAGCGCCTTTGCTGCTAGAAATAAGCCTGTGCCGCTGCTAGGCTGTGCCTTCCTGGACTGTATCCTGGGCTGCCGGCTTGCAGCCACCCCACTGCTGCGGCCACCACTAGTTAACCCCCCCTCCCCCTCCCGGGTTGTACCCTGGGCACACACCACTCTGCCCTCTGGAACTGCTCCCCCTCCCGATCAAAGAAGTGGCAGGGAGTGTAAGGTGCACCTGTTAGAATCAGGTTCTTAGTCCAGATAAGTTGTAATTTCATTTTGCATAGCTGTGGTTAAGTTAGGTTTAAAGAATTGTTTGTATTGTGCTCTGTAAGTTAGGTTTAAAAAATTGTTGCATTGTGTTCTGTTACTTGCTAATTTGTGTAGTCTTGGTTAAGTTAGATCATAGATAAGATTTTGCTGTGTTCTGTATAATTGTGGTTAAGTCTGTCTTCCCGCTACACCCCCCGCCCCCCGAGCTTGCCCGTGTCTCCCCCCGAGCTCCCCGGTCACTCGTTGCAGTCTCTCTGCTGTTTAAACTTGTAGCCTGTCTGCTCTCTGTGTCTCCCTGAGTTTAAATCTCCCTCCGCAGCGCCTCTGCCTTTGGTCTCTGCTCCACCATGTGCTCCTCTTCCCCCATCCCCCAACCTCATTCCTCTACCACTGCCTTTCTCTCTCCCTCTCTCTTTTAATCCCTTCCCCCACGTGCTCACCCCGCTCCCACTGCTGCCAAACCTCAATTGTATTACTAAAGTCTAGCATAAACCCCCATTGATTACCCTTTTCCTTTCTAACACACCTCACATTTTACATTTACACCACTGTGACACATTTTTACCTAGAGTTGTTGGTTATTTAACACATTTTACCCATAACTGTTAGTTGGTTATATGCTGCTGTGACACACCCTTTACATAGAAACTGTTAGCTACCTGTTACATTTATACTTCAGTGTTAATTGGTTACCACCTGTATTGTACCCCACTATTGAAACCCCCTATCCTATTTACTAAAAGAAACCCCTCCCCAATTGTCTACCTTAACAAACCCCATACTCCTCACTATTGAATTTTCCCTGTTTTTACATTTTCTTAATAAAGTTTATTTTGCACCCCACCAGTGCAGTAGTTGTCCCCCAAGATCCCCTACCTGCTGGCAGGGTCATGGCGTCACGAACAGGATCTTGGGGTAACAATTGCTGCCTCCCCTGTCCCTGGAAAGAGGCCAAGACCTCTGGGACAGATGAGGATCAAAGTAACCACCTGCAGTACCACTCGCTGCAAAGTAAACAGCAGCCTAAGGCCCTAGAGTGGGTCTGCACGATTGGCAAAGGCCAGAGCTCCAGCGTGTACACTACCCACCTCGGGCTCACTGATGTGGGGTGCCTTTTAACTTGTCACCCCACATTCAGGGCCAGCCCCGCTGATTCCAGCCTCCGGCTAACCTGCACTAAGGCAGGAGAGCCAGCCGCAGATTCAGATCCTACCCGCCTCTGGAGAGAAGTGGGGAGGGTCACGAAAGCCTGCGGGGGGACCCCCTCTAGACTCACCCCTGAACCCCAAATTTTGCAGGGGTCCCCCGCCCACCAAATACTAGCGGACCTGGTACAAAAGCTGGAAGGGGTTCAGAAGCCCCCGAGGCCTGATGTATACAAACCCCAAAAGGTGGCCACAGTCGCCTATGAAATCCTGGCCCAGGCCCTTGATAAGTTAACCGTTTTTCATGGGGCCCTAACGGCCTCGGCCAAGGAGGCCGTTAGCCAGACTAGCCGGAAAGGGCCGCCACCACCTACCGCTAGCCAGCCCAGTCCCAATAAAACCCCCGAACACACACCCCCATATGTTCACCCAGAGGCCCCACTCCCCCTTGAAAAAACCCCGCTATACCCCACCCTACCCTCAGCCCCACCAAATGCCCAAGCCCATACACCCCCACCCACTGTGACCTCCAGTGAAGCCCTGCCTATATCCATCAGCCGAATAAAGGTTGATGGTCAGGGCAACGCCACACAGGTCACAGAATTCTGGCTCCGCTCCAAAGCTGAGATGAAGGAGTTCATCTCAGACACCGCTAGGGGAGCCAATGAGCCGCCATTACTGTGGCTGGGCCGCTTGGCCCTGGAACATGGACAGGAGCTAGTGGATAGGGAAGAGGGCATAGTGCTAGCTAGGACCAGTAGCTGGTCCCGGGGTCTCACAGGGAGCCTGGTAATATCTAACACCGCATGGCCCCTAACTGCCCCAGCCCTGGCCTTCCTCCATTTACAGCACTCCCTTCAAGGGATCCAAATCCTCAAAGGAAGTGTCAAGGACCTCTCTTCCCTAAGATGTGCCATCGCAGGGGGGTCCATCATGCTATGGTCCCCTGCCCAACACCCTCTCGGACTAACTCAGGCTCAGATTAACCAGGTTAATGCCTTCCGGCATGTTGTTGACCCCACTGAAATACCCATAAATGAAGCTGCCATTGACTTAGCCATGGATAACAGTACCACCCCTGACACCGGGACAGTTCTGTGGCTAAGGGGGTATGCTGGACGCCCCATTGGGCAGCTCTATGAGGCCCTCGAAAGGGTAAGGTGGCCTTCAGCCCAAGCCCTACCCATTAGTTCCCACCCACCACACAGCAGCCCACAGCCCAGATCCCAGCACCCGGAGCGTTCATTCATAGAACGGAAAATTTTTGGATTCTTGTTGTATAAAGGCCTCACTAAGGAGGTTGTGCGTAAGCTCAACAGTGAGCAGCAAAAAGCCTTGGCCATAGCTCTGGGATGGGAAGAGCGACTAGAACCTTCCCAGCCAAAAAACGGATAACGGCCGGGTGCTTGGCGGCGGCCAGCACTCGGCCAGGGGACCCCCGCCCCTATCATCCGCTAGTTTTTGACAAGGGTCTCGTCATCCCCTTCTTGCTGGACACGGGGGCACAGGTGTCCATTATTCCCCCTCACGTCCCCCACACCCCTACAGGACACACTATCTACATGCAAGGCCTCAATAGCACAGAGCCCCGCCCAGAAGTAAAGGTACATGCATACATAAACCACACACCAGTAACATTTCGGGCCCTAGTGGGGCCCACGCCCCTCCTTGGAGTCAAGGAGTTACGGCGTTTCAAGCTGGCCGAAGCCGTACTCGAGGCACTGCCTGTCACCCTATCTGGTACCAGTGCTCCCCACGAACCCGAACTGCTTAACCCCACACCCTGGAAATACAGACCAATACCCACTGCCCCAGCAGGTCAACCACACATTGCCCAGCTCATTGAGACACTGCTCAATGAGAATAAAATTCGGCGGGTGTCAGCGAGCAAATATCTATCCAGTGCATGGGGAATCCCAAAACCACACAAGCCCAACGAGTACAGAATGGTTATCGATTATCGGGCCGCTAACAAACACATACGGTCAGTAGCATTCGCCACTAAATGGGATATCCCCACTATTGAGCGCATCTTACTGGATGACACAAACCAATGGGCATGTATAATGGACCTAAAAGATATGTTCTATCAGGTTCCCCTCTATGATCCCAAGGGACTGTTAAACTTCGCTTACCAGGGAGCCCAGTACCAATGGCAAGCGTGTCCCCAAGGGTACAAAAACTCACCTGCCTGTGCCAGTGAGGCCCTAACCCGCACGTTAGAAAAGGTACCATCCCTCCCCAACATCAATGTCGTCTACTATGTGGACGACATTCTCATAACTGGTGCCACACCAACTGAAGTACAAAAGGTCGTTAAACAGGTCCAGGCCGCTTTATCCACCAGTGGGTGGAACCTAAGTCTGCCTAAAAGTGTCCTCTCTGCTGCTTCTACCTTTCAGTTCCTAGGTTTTGCTGTGGAGAAGGGACGGCTGTGCCACTTAACTTATCACCCACTCACCAATTCTTTCCCCCTGGGGGTAGCACCCCCCAGGCGTGAGATGCAGCATGTGTTGGGCATAGTCAATTACCACAGGCAGTTTCTTCCTGCTGCATTGCTGCCACGCCTGTCCACTCTGCAACAATATGCCAGGAACATTAAAATCCCCTGGACACCGGAGGCCAAACAGGTGGTGTCTTCTCTGGCTGCCTGGTTGGGCTCTGGGCCCACCTTGGCTCGATGGAACCCCACCAACCCCGTCGAAATTACTC